CAGTTGTCTCAGCAACCTCTAAATCTGCGCATACCTCACTGCCAGAGCAGGTCCGTGACAGCCCCAGTGAGGCAGGAGCAGGCAGGACAACAAACTCCAAGTGAGGGTCTCCCGCTGCTTTTCTTGCAGCCTGAGGAAGCGCTTGTAGTTACTTTTGAAGGACACATCTCAGTACTGAAAGTTCTTTTGGAGACAATCGATTTTCCTTAACTTTCCTGTCCTTAATGTCTACTGTGTTGCCACAAAACACAATAGGGATGTTCTCACACCCTGTACCAGATTTTTTCAAGTTTGGCACATTTTTGGAACTAACATTTTACATCTGTCATTCTAATGGCACATTGGGCTTGCACCAATAGCCTCTCTCCATCCACCAATGTCTCCTCACCAGCTGGGTGCCACACTTGAGCTTGACACATCACTGTGTGTGTAGAACAGGAGAGGAAGGACCTCAACACCCCAGGTTCTTTGTATGTCTTTTATTGTAGAACTATGCTGTGCAAATATATCCTCCCTTTAGTAGGCTGTCTTAGTGTTGTAGTGATGTTTTCTTGTACTGCACAGAACATTTTGTTTTATATACTCCCAATTATTTATGTTCCCCTTTGTTTCCCTTGCTGCTGGAGATGATTCCACAAACACATCTGAAATTTATATTGTACAGTGTTTTGCCCAAGTTTTATTCTATGTGTTATGGGTTTGGGCCTTACATCAAAACTTTTATTCATTTGTTTTTTTTCTTTAATATTTATTTATACATTCAAGAGCTGGGGTACAAGCCAGAGATGTGGGGGGTAAGGGGATTCACCAGAGACAGAGCGGGGAACAGAATAGGCAGATTGACCAAAATACACTGCTGAGGGGAGCAGTGGGCGAGACAGGAGAGGTCTGCCACGCCATGAGGGTAGCTCCCTGGCTGGCCGGGGATTGAACTCATGCTGCAGTGGCTGTGGATTTTTATAGTGCAGTGCTTAACCCCTTGTACCACCAGGGAGGCCCAAAACTTTTATTCATTTGAATTGATTTTTGTGTGTTTGCAGATAGAGTCATCTAGTTTCATCTTTTGCGTTGTGCCCAGTGTTCCCAATACCATTTCCTGAAGAGGAGCCTTGCTCCGGTGTATGTTCTTGGCTCCTATTTTGTAGAGTAACTGTTCCTATATGTCTGGTTTGTTTCTGGGTCTTGATTCTATCCCATTGGTCTCTGTGTCTGTTATTGTTCCCAGATCATTTTAACTATCCAGTATTGTTTTACTTATTATAGCTTTATTGTATAGTTTGACTTCTGGTATTGTGATAATGACATTTTTTCCCTTCTTTGTCAGTTGCTTTGTTTTCCGGGTCTTTGGTGGATCCATATGAATTTCTGTAATGTATGTTTTATTTCTTAAAGTGTGCCATTGATAAATTTCATTTGTTGCATTGACTCTGTGTTAGTGCTTTGTGTAGGGTGTTCATTGTGACCACATTGATTCTTCCAGTCCATGAGCAAGAATAACTTTCCATTTCTCTGTGTCTTTTTGTATCTCTTTTGACAGAGTCTTATAGTTTTCTTTATACATGCCCTTCACATACTCTGTTACGTTTACTAAGTAGGTATTTAACTTTTATTTAATTTAGTGTGATTGTAAGTGGGATCATTTTCTTAATGTTTTCTCTTCTATCTCATTGTTTATACATAGGAAGGCAGCTGATTTTGTTTGTGTTTATATCCTGCCACTGTAACTAAACTTGTTCATTGTTTCAGTTCGATCCAACATCTATGTATACTAAAAACCCTAAAAACAGACATAAATGGAACTCATCCTAAACAATAAAAACTCTTTCTAGGTATTTATTTCTCAAACATCCATCTGAATGTTGGTTTTTTATTCCCACACTATCATACTCAAGAAAACAGACTTAGGACCATCTTTTTTAAATATAAGAAAGCAGTTGAAGCTTGTGCAATCTTTTGTGTATTATGTATGAAGGGACCCCTGAGGTATGTGTGCCTAATTTTGTATGGCTTTTCTAATTTAGTAATTTTACATTTTATTTTGTACCGCAAAAACACTTCATTATTCACTTTGAAATGTTAAGTTAATTTTAATACAAAGCTATTTATTAAAGGAGACACTCCCATTAAATTCTTTCCATTTCCCTAGAGTTTTCCTTTCAATTTATTACACTGAAGTAACCTTACATTATAACATTATATAAATTTCAGTTATGCATGTTTATTAATCACCATATGTATATGTGACTTTTAGTTCACTACTAAAAGTTTAATTTATCTTTCATTATACCGTTGTCCTCTGATTCTGATTTAACCACCTCACTTACCCCATCTTGCTGTTAGCCACTAATTGTTCTTACAGAATTAAAAGTATAATTCATTTTATTGAATTGATCAGTTTATTTTCTTTATCACATAGGAGTGAAATCATATAGAATTTGACTTTCTGTGGTTGGCTTATTTCAGTCAGGATAATTCTGTTTTGCAAATGGTATAATTTTATCTTTTTAATATAAATAGTATTACATTCTCTACAAATACCACATCATGTGGTCTGATTGTTGATAGTGAATAGTAGATAGAAACTTGGATTGTTTCTACCTCTTGGCTATTGTAAGTACCACTTCAGTGAACATGGCTGGCACAGACCTCTTTCAATTAGTGTTTTTTCAGTGTATTTTCCAGATAAGTAACCAGAAGTGAGACAATTGGAACATGGGGAACTCAGCATTTGCAACCAGGTGCCTCAGTGGACAGCAGGGCTGCTGGCTGTGGTGTGGTCATTGCCTGTGGTCATTGCCTGTGGCCACAGCTGTGCAATGTGCACACAGCCCACGTAGGTGCCTCTTTTGTATCCAGGCCAGCTGAGTCCAGAGGTGGAACCCTGTGGACAAACCCAGCTCCATCAGCAGGAGACTCAATCCATGGCAGGAACAACCAGAAGGAGGTCGGGAGGGAGGTGAGGACAACTGAAGACCAATTGGAGCTTCTGTGGAGAGAGAGGGGAGGAGGTGGAGGTGACAGAGTTCACGTCTCAACAAACTGAGACAACACTTAAGTCCCAGACTCCCCACTGCCCACCTCATGCCAAGGTGAACTAGAAGAGAAACAATCAAACTGACCCCCAGCACCCCAGCTGTACACCTGGAAATGAGGTGACATCAATGCTTAGAAACCAAGGAACATCCAAGCACAGGAAGGAAAAACAGTAGCAGAACAGAAGTTCTGGCTCATAAATACAGGAGCGAGAAGCAGAGGAGTCTCAGCGACGTGGAGCAACAACATGAAATACACCCATGAGTTATGGGAGGTGACTCAGGGCAGACGGGCAGCTGCGAGACCTTAGAGAGAAGATAAAGAACCACAGCATCTTCACCAAAGAGATGGACAAGATTAAAGGAACACAAAAGAGTCTCCGAATGCAAATGACCACAAATATAAGAAAGTTTTATATAGAATTAAACTGGCAGACATAATAACTTCAGAAATAGAGGACCCAAAAGTATAAATCACCCAATTAGGAAAACAGAGAGAAACGAGACAAGGACACAGGAAAAATAAGGAAACACTACAAACAATGTCAGATGCAATTAGAAGTGGAAACATAAGGATAGTGGATAATCCAGAAGGTAAAGGTGAAAGAAGGAGAGATGCTTTTCAAAAAAATCTAGCTGAGAATTTTCCAAACCTGGAGAATGAAATAAGCACAAATATCCAGGAAGCAGTGATAACACCCACATTTCAAAGTGAAATGACCTACACCATGACACCCCACAGTTAAATTATAAAAAATCAGAAAAAAAGAAAAAAAATACAGGAGGCCTGAAAATAAGAGAATTTGCAAAGATCTCCAAAGTAGGCTTTCCTCAGATTTTTCCCCAGTCACTCTCCAGGTAAAGAGAGGAAGGATGTGTTCATAATCCTAAATACAAAGACATCCCGCCAAGAATACTGTACCCTGCAGAATTATTCCAGTGTGAATGTGAACGAAAGCTTCCCCAGGCAGAGAAGCCAGTGGAGGTTATCACTGTCAGGTCTGCCTGCCTCACCATAAAAGCTGACAAGAGTTCTTCTACAAGAAAGAAAAAATGAAACACAAACCCTGAGCAAAATGACATGAACAGGAGTATTATGGGTCAACAACGAAGCACTGAAAGGAAGGAAGGAAGTTACAGAAGTAGGGACAGCTGAATAGTAACCCTGGACACTCATGGATACTTTGTATGTATTTTTCTTCCCTTTCTTCCTATTATTTGTATGTAGCCAATTTGCTGTTTTAATATTTTACAAAAGAAAAATTTAGCAATTATATTTTTCTTAAAACTGAACCCGTTACTCAGACCAGTTAAAAATAATAATACAGAAAACATATTTATAATGTAAAAAACACTGATGTCAAACTGTGTACATAAGAGAAACCACAGATTATCTCTGACTGAGTGATGACAGGATCATGACTCAGTCCATGGACTGAGCCCTGCTGCTCCCAACCAGACAATCTGAGGACAGCAGCACTGTCATGATGGGGCTGCTGTTCTGCTGAAGAGTCTCACCAGGGCCTGCTTTATGTCCTTGTTTCTGAGACTGTAGATGAAGGGGTTCAGCATGGGGGTGACCACCGTGTACATCACCGAGGCGATTGCACTGTCCCTGGAGTCGTGGGTAGCAGCAGAGCTGAGGTACACACCGAGCCCCGTCCCGTAGAACAGGGAGACCACGGAGAGGTGAGACCCGCAGGTGGAGAAGGCTTTGTACCTGCCGCTCGCTGAGATTTTCAAAACAGAGGACACAATCTTAGAGTAAGAGTAAAGGATGCCACCGAGAGGAATGATTGCCACAACCCCCGCTGCTAAATATATCACCAGCTCATTGAGGAAGGTGTCAGAACAGGCAAGCTGGATCACCTGGTTCAGTTCACAGAAGAAGTGAGGGATTTGCAGCTGTGAGCAAAAGGACAGTCGCAAAACCAGTAAGCTGTGTAACAGAGAATGCAGAAGACTTACCACCCAGGATGCAAGAAGCAGGAGGCCACAGAACTGGGGGTTCATGATGACCATGTAGTGCAGGGGATGGCAGATGGCCACAAACCGGTCGTAGGCCATGGCTGTCAGGAGGAAGGTGTCCAGTCCTCCAAAGAATATGTAGAAAAACACCTGGCTGAGACAGCCCGCGTAGGTTATGGCTTTGTTCTGCGTCTGGATGTTCAGCAGCATCTTGGGGACGGTGGTGGAGGTGAAGCAGATGTCGGCAAAGGACAGGTTGGCGAGGAAGAAGTACATGGGGGTGTGCAGGTGGGGGTCCGTGACGATGGCCAGGATGATGAGGAGATTCCCAGTGAAGGTGACCAAGTACATGGCCAAGAATGCCCAGAAGAGGAGGGGCTGCAGCGAGGCCTCTTCTGAGAGCCCCAGGAGGGTGAACGCTGTGGGGTGGGTTTGGTTTCCTGGCACCAGGTCGCTGGTGAACCTGGGGGATGGAGCCAGAAGTGATGGAAACTTCACCACAGCAGAGCAGTCAAGACATGAGTTTAAATGGGGTGATTTCATTTTAAATACATTCAGTTGATCAATTTCATCTTATCGAGCTAGTGCCTCTTACCTGATGCTGAAAATAATTAGCCATGGGTACATCTAATACAAGCATTTTTCCAAGTCAAAATTTTCTTTGAAAATTTCCTGAGTTCTTCTTTTAAATACGTTTGACTAATTATATTATCCAAGTATTGTTGGAATCATAGAGAAAAAGCATTGAGACTGACTTTGAAAAATCCTGGCCCTAGGGCCTCCCTGGTGGCCTAGAGGTTAACTCTCAGCACTATGCAACATCCTGGGTTCAATCCCCAGCCAGGGAGCTACCCACATGGTGCAGCAGACCTCTCCTTTTCACCAACTGCTCCCCTGCAGTGTATTTCAATAGATCTGACTGTCCTGCTCCCCACTATTATCCTGTGAGTCCTCTTACCCCCCACTCCTCTGGCCTGTACCCCAGTTGTTCTATGCATACATAATAAGTAAATAAATCCTTTTTAAAAAAAAGAGAGAAAGAAAAATCCTAGCCCCAAACAAGTTTTCTTCTAAGTAGGTGTGTGGTCTTGGTAAATAATATTTCATATGGTGATTATTTTGTTAAGTAAAATAATGCAGTTGGACGAAGAGGTGGATTCTAGAGGAAACGTGATAATCACTTCCGATTTTGAGTCTTTGAACAAAATTTTGAAGTCAACAGGATTTTTTTATATAAGGAGACATCACGTGGTAACAATGTATGCCTGAGCACATTGGGCTTGGGAAATAGCCAGTGTTCCTGGCATAGTGACAGAACCAAAGTAGGGGTTGACAGGAGGGGCACTCCAGGTAGGGGGTGAGATGAGAGGTTGGCAGAAGACCCTAACATCCTATTGCCGTGCGAAGTTCCTGCCTGTCACATTGTACATTTGCTGATCTTCTAGTGTGTAGGTTGTGTTACATGTGCTGTGCCAAACTGTAATGTCTTTCCCTCACATTTCATCTAAATTCCGAATGCTAGATTGTAGAAGACAGCTTCAATGGGACAGATGTCCGATCTGTGCTTCCTTTACCTGTAATAAGGATTATTTCCCTTATTTCAGCCACACACACACTTTCTGATCCACTTTGTGGGCATTTTTTTTTTTTATATAGAGGCATTTTTTATTTATTTATTTATTGTTTGTTTTTTGTTTATACAAGCACTGGGTACAGTCAGAAGCGCGGGAGGGTGAGAAAATTCACCAGAGCCAGAGCGGGGAGCAGAGCAGGCAGAAGGACCGAAGTACACTGCTGGGGGGAACAGCAGGCGGCAGGAGAGGTCTGCGTGCCATGCGGGACCCTCCTCCGGTGGCCGGGAGCAGCCGGGGATCGAACCGGCGCCGCAGAGGCCGCGGGCAGCTTCGCAACCCAGCGCTCAACCGCTTGCCACCGGGAGGCCCCACTTTTAGGGCATTTTGTCCTGTGCATTGAAGCACAGCTGAGAATTGTAAATCAAATCACTGAGGACAACGAAAATAGGAAGTGTTTACTTTTCAAAGAATCAGCTCTCCAGAAATGTTGTAAAGAAAGTTGTTATTTACCTCTGCATTTTCACACACTGGATACCTAAACACACAGAAACTCGCCCTGTATCCTTATTTATTTATTCATTTATATTTTGTAACTGAGGTAGTACTGGGGTACCCCCACCAGGTATGGCCACCAGAGTGCACCCACACCCACTCACCCATATTCCACCACCCCAGGCCATTGTTCTTCTTTCCCACCTCATTCTTCCATTTCCCCCGGGATGCCCCCTCTATGTCTCAGCTCTGTAGTCAGCCATCAAGGGTTAGTTTTTCACGTTGTATTAATCTGTTCATTTATTTACTTTATATTCTACATATTAGTCACACCGTCCTTTGCTTTATCATGACTTATTTCCCCTAACATTATTATTTCAAGCTCCATTCATGTTGCCACAAGTGGCATGAGTTCATCTTTTTCATTGCTGTGTGGTAATCCGTTGTGTGTGTACACTACATCATCTTGCTCTATTCACATGTTAGGATGTTTCCACTATAATAAATAGTGCTGCAATAAACATGGCAGAGCAAATTTCTTTCCAATTAGTTTTTTAAATATTATAGACAGATGCCTAGGAGTGGAATGACTGGGTCAAATGGCAGTTCCATGTTTACGCTTTGAGACACGTCCTCACTGCTCGCAGTAAGGGCTGGACCAGGCTGCACTACCCGCCGCGGTGAGTGTGGCCCACTGCCCTGCATCTGAACAGCATCCCTTCAGGGTCAGTTCCTGTGTACCATCTGCTTCTTGGCAGGCCCCAGTTACCCTCAACTCTGACTGGACTAAGATGATTGGGAGATAAATGAGTAGATGATCAATACAAATGGAGTTTAATGGTAACAGTGACAGGGTCTCACAACAAATTTGGTGATGTATCTGTGACCAGAAATCTGCCATAGGAAATTTAATTCTTGTTTATCTTGATGAACTTATGATAAAATTGGTTTTGTGATATATCATTTCTCTTAAAGTTGCAGTTTCCAAGAATATATCCATGATAGTAAGTGAGAAATTAATGTATTCACTATACTCTGACACCTCACCCTGATTTCCTTTAGTTGGGAATAGTAGATAAATAAATGCATATTGCATGAGCTAGATGAACAATATGGTCTCACAAAAAAATAATGACAAGTTCAGAAAGACAGACGGGGAAATGCTAAAATAGTTGTGGAGAACACGCAAGAGGAATTTTCATATCCTGAGATTCATTAGGGGGTTAGACCTGGGTTAACATGAATGAAGTAGAATAAAACAAGTAAAGCCCATAGGCCGTAGGAAAATGTGTGAGTGCATTGTCTGAACACACCGTGGCCATTGATTAACAGTTCTCATCCATCAGTTGTGTGTACCTGTGTACGTGTGTGTGTCATTTCTGTATGTATGTGCGGGTAGGTGAGCTTCATCACAGAGTAAAGGCAGGTCTGACTTTAGGCCACAGTAAGAAGAATCTGGCATCATTGCATACAGGAGAGAAGTATTTGAAAGGTCAGTTCTTGCTAATGAGGAAAGACCATGTGAGTGAGGCCCCAACTGAAGAGCCGGCTGGGCGGAGAACAGTTACCTTGGACATCAGGGCCCCCAGGCCGACTGACCTGCTGTAAATCCGTCACTTGTAATGGGGTTGCTTTTTCATGTCACAAGGAAGTCATTGCCTATGCAAATACCAGAGAGCACCTAAATATGTGTTTTCCAGAGGAGACACCTAGATGCTCAGCAAGCACATGAGGGGGTGCTCAGGATCACTCACCAGGGAGATGCAAATCCGAACCAGGAGCTGTCACCTCACAGCTGCTGACAGAGCTCCCAGGGAGATGACCAAAGGTCAGCACTGGGGTGGGGCGCAGAGAGCCTGGGGTGCTGTCGGTGGCTAATACACCTCTGCAGCCAAGGCGGAAAAGAGAACAGTGGAGCCTCAAAATAGCAAAGTGAGACTCCCCTGTAACAAAAGCCATGAAAACAGGACATCATAAAGCTCTCCGCATCCCCTTGTTTATTGAGCCAAAATTTAGAAATAACCTGCGAGTCCATCAGTGTATGAATATAGAAAATAATGTGTACACGTATAGATATAAAATATATAGGCCTTATATTCATATAGGATGGCCCTTAATTGTCCAAATAATATACATGGATTATGTAAAACATATAATGTGTAATACACACACAGGATATTGTGTTATTATAATACACATTCTATGTAATAAAATATCTATATAATAAAATATCCAGTGAAGAGAAAGAAGGACACCCTGCCTTGTGTGACAACCTGAGCACCTAAGAACGTTCTGCTATGTGACAGAAGTCAGAGAACTAGAAATACTGCACGTCACTTCTGTGTGCGCTCCTAAAACAGACTTAAATTTGTTACCCGGACCGGGTGGGGTTTTGGAAGAAGTTGTTTCAGGATACAAACTTGAAGCTGGAGGATGATAAGGTTCTGGAATCTCCTGCATTGTGACAGAGTCAACAGTACTTTCTTACAACTTTCTAAGTTGTCGAGAGATTATCTCTGAATCATTTTGTGACAAAAAAATATTCATTGTGTGCATGGATGGAGGTGTTAGCTAGTGCTACAGTGATAATCATATTGCAAAATGTAAATATATCAAATCAACATGTTTTTCTCCAATTTACACACTGTTTCAATTCAATTAAATCTCAGTGAAAATACGACAGATGAAATTACAAAAGTGAGGAGACAGAGTAAGGAGGAAAAACAGATGTGACATGAACACAAGGTGTATAATAGCTTAGTACTACTAAGATTTCAAGAAAACAGCCTGTGTTTAAAATACATAATGGGACACAAAGGCTCGACTGAGGCCCACACAAAATTGAAAACTTTGAAACATTTTGTCCAACAATCTCTACATATGTGGGAGAATTAAGTGCAAAAAAATATTACTTTGAAAACTCCTAATTTTTTTGAATATTTGAATCACAAACCAGAATAAAAACTCAGAACCTTGGTTAATGAACTGTTAGAATGAACAAAATTTATAATAGAAAAAGCAAAATTGTAACAGCAAAGCATGCAGATTTGCCAGTACTAGAGTGGTTGCAAAGTAAAACTCTTTAGTCTCCCCCAACTGACATTCAAGAAAAAGGATGACTTCTGTGAGCACCTGCTATGAGGGAACACTACACACTGTTCCTCTCCTCAGCTGCTCTGTGAGGTCATCCGCCCCCATTACCCTGGATCTCTCCAACACAGAGGCCCTGCTCATCACCCCGTCCACTCCTGTATCCCCTTCACATTTAATACTTTATTTCCTGCTGCCTCAGCTCCAAGCCTACCTGAATCTGTCCTAACGTTGCTGGAACCACGTTAAGCCTCCCACTCCCCCTTCAGTCTCATCCTAACAGATTTTCCTTCCTGTCTCTTCACTGTCAGCACCATCTCTGTATTGTTGAGAGCAGTGGGCAGTTCTTAGTCACAAATTAAGTAAATTAATTATAAATTGACGAGTCAGTCAAGCAAGAGAACAGGGAACCTCTTGTCCCTGGCCTGGTTTGATCTCTGTGACCTGAGGCAGAACTTCTCAGTTTGCATTTTCCCTGGATCTGTCACAAGTGCCTGCTGGGCTCTGAGACTCACCTGGGTGGGGGCTGTGAGGGGGGCTTCTCCATGGAGCGTCTGAGTCCCTCCTGGACGCTTGAGGATGGATCTGGGCTGTGTCACAGACAGGATCTCAGGAGGGCGCCACGGGCTGGTCCCTGGGCAGAGGTCGGGCTCCACAGACAGGAATCATGTCCTCTCCGGTCCCGGGTTGGACAGTCTGAGGGACCGAGGGAGACAGGGTATTTACCGCCCTCCACGCGGTCTCATTAGCCACACCTCAGTCTCCTGCTCCAAGCTCTGAGCTCATGATTTCCCTGTGGACACTGCACTGGACAGTGGAAAGTTTCTTAATGATTCTCTGATCCCGAGAGACTAGATTAGATGTCAAGTGCATCCAGTTTTGGTTACTCCTTTATCATGAACTCCTGCACCTTCCAGAGCTGTTGCCACCCAGCACCTTATTCTCACTCTGTGTTCAAGTTTTCCAAATGTCTGTGCCTAAGGAACCCTCTTGACTTTACGCCCTAGATCATCAAGGCACAAATAAAATATTTTGGGGGCACAGACCCCCCATATGCCCAATAGTGCTATTCCACTCTAATTAAGCAGATAACTGAGTTCTTTTATACAAAACCTTAGACACCACACTCCTTGTTGTCATGGCACTCTTGCAAAAGCAAATGGGAATTTTTTATTTTTGTTTTTATTGTGATGTGACTGCAGCCGCCTTATGTTTGAAACTCCAGAAGGAAACGCCTGTGTTCCTAACCAGCTAATATGCAGGGCCAAAGAGCAAAGATTTTTGTAACTGCCAACTCACCCTGAAGCCTGTGCACCTCCTCAGCCCCCCAAAAGTAAGCAGGTGTCCTGCTTAGCAGCACAGGGAAGTGCTAACATGCTGTGCCGCTGGCAGCAGGGGCCACTGCCCACTCCTGACACTGGGCATCACCATCCTCACAGGTCACCATCGTCATCCCGAGCAGCAGTTGTCTGAGCAACCTGTAAATTGTGACCAGACTTCACTGCCAGAGCAGGGTCCGTGACAGCCCAGTGAGCAGGAGCAGGCGTGACAATGAACTCCATGACAACGAACTCCAAGTGAGGGTCTCCAGTTGCTTTTCTAGCAGCCTGAGGAAGGGCTTGTAGTGACCTGTGACGGACTCGTCTCAGTACTGAAAATTATTCTTTTGGAGATGATCGATTTTCCTTCACTTTTCTGTCCTTAATGTCCACTTCATTGCCACACAACACAACAGGGATATTTTCACACCCCGTACCAGGTCTCTATGCAAGTTAGGCACGTTCTGGGAAATAACTCGATGTTACATCAGACAATCTAATGGCACATGGGTTTGCACCAATAGCCTCTCTCCGTCCACCAGATGTGTCCTAACCAGCGGGGTACCTCATGTTGAACTTGGCACGTCTCTGTGGGTGTGGAACAGGAGAGGAAGGCCCTCAACACCCAGGTTCTTTATGTGTCTTTATTTGTCAGAAGTACGCTGTGCAAATACATCCTCCCTTCAGTAGTCTGAGTGAGTGTTACCCGGCTGTTTTCTTGAACTGTACAGCAGCATTTTGGTTGATATAGTCCAAATTATTTATGTTCTCCTTTGTTCCCCTTGCTGCTGGGGAGGATTCCACAAACACATCTGAAATTTATATTCTAGAGTGTTTTGCCCAAGTTTTCTTCTATGTGTGTTATAGTTGGAGGTCTTACATCAAAGACTTATATGTATTTTGATTTCTGTGTTTTGAGATAGAGAAGTCTAGTTTCATTCTTTTGCTCGTGTGCCCACTTTTCCCAATATCATTTCCTGACGAGGCTTTCCTTGCTCCAGTGTATATTCTTGGCTCAAATTTGTAGATTAAATGTTCCTGTAAGTCTGGTTTTATTCTGGGGTCTTGTTTCTATCCCACTGGTCTCTGTGTCTGATAAAATTCCAGTACCATTTTAATTATCCAGTATTGTTTTAATTATTATAACTTTGTAGTACAGTTTGAAGTCTGGTATTGTAATAATGAAGTTTTCCCTTTTGGGTCAGAGTTTCTTTGCTTTCCAGGGTCTTTTGTGTTCTGTACGAATTTCAGTAATGTATATTTTATATTAAAGCATGTCATTGATAATTCCATGTGATTGTGTTGACTCTGTGTAGTGCTTTGTGGAGGATGGTCATTGTGGCCACATTGATTCTTCCAGTCCATGAGCAAGAAATAACTTTCCATTTCTTTGTGTCTTTTTGTATCTCTTTTGACAGAGTCTTATAGTTTTCTTTATTCAGGCCCTTTTCGTTCTTTGTTAAGTTTACTAACTAGGTATTTAACTTTTATTTATTTTGGTGTGATTGTAAGAGGGATCATTTCCTTGATTTTTTTCTCATCTAACTCATTGTTTATATATAGGAAGGCAGCTGATTTTTTTTTTTAAGATTTATTTATTTATTTATACAAGCACTGGGTATAGTCAGAAGCGCCGGAGGATGAGAGAATTCACCAGAGCCAGAGCGGGGAGCAGAACAGGCAAACTGACAAAGTACACTGCTGAGGGGAGCAGCGGGTGCGACAGGAGAGGTCTGCGCGCCATGTGGGACCCTCACCTGGCGGCCGGGGATCGAACCGGCACTGCAGAGGCTGAGGGCAGCTTCACAGCCCAGCGCTCAACCGCTGCGGAAAGGCAGCTGATTTTGTTTGTGTTTAAATCTTGCCACTTAAACTGCACTGGTTTATTGTTTCAGTTAGATCCAACATCCGTGTAGCCTGAAAACCCTAAAAACTGGACATAAATGGAACTCATCCTACAATAATAAACACTATTTCAGACACATTTCTTAAAACATCCATCTGAATATTGGTTAATTATTCCCACAATATTATACACAAGAAAACAGACTTCGGACCATCTTTTTTAAAAATAATTTAAGAAAGCAGTTGAAGCTTGTGTAATCTTTTGTGTTTTATGTATAAAATACCATACAGTATGGATGCCTAATTTCTTATAGCTCCTCTCATTCAATATTTATACATTTTATTTTATACTATAAAATAAGTTTATTATTCACTTTGAAACGTAAGTTCATTTTAATGCAAAGCTATTTATTAAATGAGACACTCCCATTGAATTCTTTTCCATTTCCTTTGAGTTTGGCTTTTAATTTTTTAAATTGAGTAACCTTACATTATAACATTATATAAAAATCAGGTATGCATGATTATTCATCAACATGTATATGCGGCATTATTCAATGCTAAAATTTCAAATTTATCTTTCATTATACCATTTCCCTCTGATTCTGATTTAACCCCCATTCCCACATCTTTCTGTTAGCCACTAATTGTTCTTACATAGTCATAGTCCAAAAGTATATTTTGTTTTATTGACATGACTTTCTTGTTTGTTTTCTTTGTCACATGTGAGTGAAATCATATGTCATTTGACTTTCTCTGTTTGGCTTATTTCAGTAAGGATAATTCTGTTGTTATCCTCTGTTGCTGCAAATGGTGCAATTTCATCTTTTAATATCTAAATTGTATTCCATTATCTACATATACCACCTCTTGTGTCCATTTGTCCATCAGTGGACACTTGGATAGTTTCTGCCTCTTGATTATTGTAAATTCCACTTCAGTGAACATGGGTGGCGCACACCTCTTTGAATTAGTGGTTTTTGTGTGTATTTTACTCAGAAGTGAGACAATTGGATCATAGGGAACTTATATTCTTCAGGTTTTGAGGACTTTCCATACTGCTTCCAGAATAGATGTACAAGTTTACATTCCACCAAATTACATAAGTGTTTCCTCTTCTGGTCTGAGACCCTGTGAGCTCAATGACCAGTCCAGGAATGGAAATCTCCAGCCTCTACCAGAGTTAAGAAATCAGAGTTTTCAGGCAGAGCCCAGATGGCTTCATAATGGATCCCAGAGCCGAGAAGGACAGTGGGACAGAGAACACAGCACTCCTTTGTAAAGTATCAAGCAGACTTGTAGCATTTGCAACCGGGTCCCTCAGTGGACAGTAGGGCTAGTGGTTGTGGTGGTCATTGCCTGTGGAAACTGCCTGTTCCAACTGCCTGTGCCAAGCTGTGCAATGGGCACACAGACCACGAAGGTCCCCCCTTCATATCCAGGCCAGCTGAGTTCAGAGATGGAACCCTGTGGACTAGACCCAGCTCCAGTCACCAGGAGACTCAATCAGTGGCAGGAACAACCTGAAGGAGGTGGGGAGGGAGGTGAGGACAATTGAAGACCAATTTGAGCTTCTGTGGAGGGAGGGGGAAGAGGTGGAGGTGACAGAGTTCACGTCTCAGCAAACTCAGACAACACTTAAGTCCCAGACTCTCCACCGCCCACCTCACCCCAAGGTAAACTAGAAGAGAAACAATCAAACTGACCCCCAGCACCTCAGATGTACACCTGGAAATGAGGTGACATCAATATTTAGAAATCAAGGAACATCTGAGTGCAGGAAGGAAAAACAACAGCAGAACAGAAGTTCTGAGAGAGAAGCAGAGGAGTCTCAGCGACGTGGAGCAACAACATTAAATACACCCGTGAGTTATGGGAGGTGACTCAGGGCAGACGGGCAGCTGCAAGACCTGAGAAATAAGATAAAGAACCGGAGAGTGTTCACCAAAGAGATGGACAATGTTAAGACACACAAAAGTGTCTGAATGTAAATGAACACAAATATAGAAAATGTTTTTAGTAGAATTAAACTGGCAAACAAAATAACTTGAGAAATAGAGGATCCAAATGTATAAATCACCCAATAAGGAAAACAGAAATGAGACTTAGACACAGGAAAAATAAGGCAACACTACAAACAATGTCAAACTCAATTAGAAGTGGAAACATAGGGATAGTGGATGAAGGAGAAGGGAGGAGTTTCGCCTTTCAAAAAAATCATAGCTGAGAATTTTCCAGACCAAGAGATTGAAATAACCGTGAACATTCTGGAAGTAGCGATAACACCCAATTTTCAAAGTGAAAATGACCTACCCTTGACACTCCACTATTTAAATTATTAAAAATCAGAAAAAAAGGAAAAAATTTCACAGGATGCGTGAATAAAAGAGGATTTGCAAAGGCATCCAATGGAGGCTTCCTCAGATTTTTTCCCCAGTCACTCTCCAGGACAGGAGAGGAAGGAAGTGCTCATAATCCTACACACAAGGACTTCCAGCCAAGAATACTCCACCCTGCAGAATTATTCCATTATGAATGTGAATAAAAGCTTCCCCAGACAGAGAAGTCCATGGAGTTGATCACTGTCACATCTGCCTGCCTGACACTAAGCGGACAAGAGTTCTTCTAAAAAAAGAAAAAAATGAAAAAACCCTGAGCAAAATGACATGAAGAGGAATATTACGGGTCAACAACAAAGCATCAAAAGGAAGAAAGTGAAGGACAGAATTAGGTACAACTGAGTATTAGCCCTGGACACTCATGGATACTTTGATATGACAAGATTTTTCACTAGATAATTCATAAGTTGCTTGTTTTTACCCGAAACAGATGTACATATTTTTCCTTCATATCTTGTAAGAACCCAGTTTATTATTATTGTAAGTACCCAATTTTTTGTACTTATTTTGTAAGTACCCAATTTTCTGTTTTAAACATTTTACTAAAGAAAACTTCATTGAGACTATGCTTTACTTAATACTGACCCCAGTTTTCAGACCAGTTAAACATAATTAGGGAAACACAGAAGACGTATTTTTAATGTAAAAAACACTGATATCAAGCTCAATACATAAGACAAACAGATTATCTCTGACTGAGTGATGACAGGATCATGACTTAGCCCATGGACTTTGAGGCCTGATGCTCCCGACCAGACAATCTGAGGAAGCGGCCCCCGTCACGTTGGGGTTGCTCTGCAGCTGAAGAGCCTCACCAGGGCCTGCTTTATGTCCTGGTTTCTGAGACTGTAGATGAAGGGGTTCAGCATGGGGGTGACCACCGTGTACATCACCGAGGCGATTGCACTGTCCCTGGAGTCGTGGGTAGCAGCAGAGCTGAAGTACACACCAAACCCCGTCCCGTAGAACAGGGAGACGACGGAGAGGTGAGACCCGCAG